TGGGAGGTTGAGGTGAGAGGAGTGCCTGAGTTCAGGGGTTCTAGACCAGCCTGGGCAACTTGGTGAGACCTCATCTCTACAATAAATCAAAAAATTAGCCAAGTGTGGTGGTGTGTGCCTGTAGTTCCAGCTACTTGGAAGGCTGAAGGATTGCCTGACTCCAGCAGGTTGAGGCTGTGGTGACCGGGAGCATGCCACTGCATTCCTTGCCTGGGCAACAGAGTGGGACTCCAACTCAAAAAAAAAAAGATTGCAATGGCAGTCTGGGTAGTAGACCTGAGGAAGTCTTACCTAAAGACTCTGAGGAGTAATATTTTTATTGCAGGCCTTTCATCTGGAATAAGATACATTGTGTTTATTCATGTTTTCAATTGACAGAAACCAAGTAAGTAAGAGGCCTGTCAAGCTTGAGGTAACTCAAGGGACAGCTAGTAATAATTGATGACTGTTTAATATATAAAGTCATTCTAGTGTCTCTAAATCTACATCCAGGAGAAGTGTGTTTCCAAAGCTATGTAACCCTCCAATGAGATCTCAGTGAAGCCATGGGAACTGAGGAGCAAGTAACATCCTTCTGGATGGCAGAATCGGTGCTTATATGATTGTATAACCATGAAACTTAATGCGCTAACAAAGGAAGAATTCTATTCCTGCCTAGCAGAATTTGATATATATTAGAGATCAGTGATTTATGCTTGCTTCTTATACTCACTGTTCTTAAATGATAGTTTTCCTTTCCTCTTGTTGCTTTTTTATCATTCTACATTGTCGGAGTTCAGACAGATAACTTATCTTTCAAAGTTATGTTTTGCTGAGCCATGAAGAACAGCCAAAGCCAGTTGGAGATGATGGCATCACCCAATTTGATCCTAGGATAAGGCTTTGAGGTAGGTTCCCTTGGGGAGAGAACAGATGTGGCCCTCTAAAAGGTATGTATGGGAATGATGACATCATGGATGCGGGATCGACAAGGGGATGAACTATTCTTAGTTTTCTCCACTCCAGAGGCAAAGAACCTAAAATTCTCATCATCCTTCACTCTATTGCAGCAAAAGAGGAAAGTCTTGTGACCTAGGTTTGGCCTTTGAGATGTACAAACAAGTTGCTGAGTTGGAATTCTGGAAAAGCTTTTAAAAGGACAAAAACCAGCCATAATATTCCTTCAGCCTTTTGCCCTTTTCTCTTTTTCCTGGATTAACTGTGGATACGAAAGTTGGAACTTTGGAAGCCCTTTTATAAATGTGTGACATAAAGGCCAGATATAAAGGATGGCAAAACAGCTTTGTTCCTTGATGGTACCCCAAAGCATTGTCCTTCGTTGTCTAAGGACTTCTTATTACCTGAGTAGAATAAATACCTGTAAGCTAAGTGACTGTTGGAAACTTCACTCTTTTTCTATTCATGCTCACAGAGACTCACATTCCTTGGCCAATAACTTCCTTCTCTATATCCTGAAGTTGGCAAGAACAATAACAGCCAGAACCCCTAGTCTATGCTGCAGCAATTCAGCAGATAGAATAAATATTAAAACTTCCGAATAAAAAAGAAGTTTTATTCAGTCTTGATTTTCCAGTACTCAGTATAATATACAGCACATAGCAGACAATAAACATGTTTGCTAATGTTATTTATTATATATTTTTGAGAAACTAATTTGTAATAGCACAGCACTTAAATCATGCATTATAATTTATAGAAGGCTTTGTGGCAAATTTGAATTTAATGCATACCAATTTTTATTAAATAATTAAGCTTTACTGAATTCTTGCTATACTCTAGGCACTATGCTAAGGTCTTTCTGCATTTAAAAGAAATTCTCACAGCAATCCTACAGCCTAAGTATTACTATTAGAGAAGGTCAGAGATATTTAAATAACTTAGCCAAGTCACACAGCCTGGTGGTATCAAAGCCCAGATTCATGGCCAACTTTCTCTCTCTCCAAACCTATGCCCTTAACCACTATGGATGATTAAAATATTCTCAATCTGCTCTTCTAAAAGAAACATGTCCTTTGATCCCGAAGAAACCTTTCTTGGCAAAACAGCAAATGTACAGAAAATGTTTGTCTGTGTACATGTTTTTTCATTATTAATCAATTACCACTTCCTGGATGATTTGTTGTGTAATTCCTTTGAGCTGACAAATCATTTGAATTTTTCATATACATACATTGGAATAAGTTAGCTCAATAAAGCAATTCACATGGAGGGTTCCATGATAGCTCTATGTTGCTACTGAGAATCTAGATTATTTGTAGCATTTTTATTTTAAAATCCTGCAGTCATTAAATGGTGACACCACAACCTGCATTGTAGGATATTGATAAGAAAAAGGATGCAGGAGATGATTCAGTAGATACTTAAATGACAAAAAATATATTTAAGTTTCACACACACTGCAGACAGCAGGTTTATATGATAATAAATAATAGTTATCACCAGGACAAAGGGGGAAAAAAATGCCCATGAAATCCAATAGCTCAGTCAGAAACCTGCTAATACAGGTGGTCAAGCTTGTCCCATTTCACTGTCAAAGGAAGGCTATTTATTTGCTTCTGGATAGTAAAATTACAGAGTCATTTGTTGCTGAAAGTTTTCCAGTAGGCAGATATGAATCTAAAGCCTAGAGCTTTAGAAGTTTGTGAGAAAAAGAGAAAAAGAATTTACTTCTCAGATAGCATAATTGATAAGGTAACAATCTTTGAGCAAATTACAGAAACAAACATGACTTTAAACACTTCAGTTAGAATCTCCTTACTGTGTGCTTTGGGCAGGGCCCAAGGGCCAAAATGCTGGGCTAGAAAGAATAATCATTTCAGAAGCTCTTTAAAATGCCAGTGATTAGTGTGTGTGTGTGTGTGTGTGTGTGTGTGTGTGTGTGTGTGTGTGTGTGTGTGTGTGGAAGAAGGGAGGGAAAGTGGGAGAGAAAGAGAGAGAAAGAGAGAAAGAGAGAGAGAGAGAGAGAGAGAGAGAGAGAGAGAGAGAGAGAGAGAGATTCCACCCAGATGCCTGAAAGCAGAGGCAAAATATTCATAATCGTTCCTCAGTAGTTATAAAATCATGCCACCTTAATAAACCTCTTGTTATACAAATAGTAGCAGTTTTAATCCAACAACTAACACTATATATTTTGAGAATATTTGAAAGAGTGGAGATTATGCATGCTGTTTTCATTATTTCTAAACTGCCACAATCTAGTAACTTCCAAAGCTCAGGAGTTTACCAATAGAGTAGATCTAAGATGTCACAATAACATTTGTCTCTTAAGCATTTTTATAATCACTTTCTTGCCAATAGGGGTTGCTTACAAATTCAAGTTATATATTTTGCATATGTCTAACACCCATATTTTATCATTTGTTTTCTGGGTATAGGAAGTTGCTACTTAAGTCGCCATTGACTCTTTGCCAAGCGACCTTTAAACCAAGACATGTATGTAATTTCCTTATTAATTAAAATATTAACTTCATCAATCTTAGTTCATGAAAAAAATCCAAAACTTGCAGGCATAATTATAATGAGGAATACATTATACAGCTGAAAGAATTCAAATTTATACTGCCTTGAATAACTATTCATGTGTTATAAAGAACAACGATTCCACCAAAGTAATCAATATGAGAAGTGACTCGAGTCAAAAGGTTAACAGATATGGGCTGCATCAGGTTACTGGAAGATATCTGAAGATGAAGGAACCAAATATCCTACCTCTAGTTATCTGAGGCTGAAATTGGAAAAGATGATCAGAGAATGTTAGCAATCAGAACAAAATCCAAATAACTGGAAATTTGATCACTTCATCATTATATTACTCAGCTCTTATGAGAGAAGGTGTAAGTATACACATGATTGTAGCATAAGTGCATGAAGTCAGGATTTCTAGGCCTATTGGCTGTTCTATCTAAAATTTTGCAAGTCTGGAGATAAATAGGATCAGTAGTGTTAATCAGAAAAAATATTTAACAACATATTGTTGCATGTGAATAAATCCAAAATGACCATTATTTTAAAGCAAACATCTACCAAGCATCCATATGTGATAATTATTTATTTATTTATTTTAGAAATAATTATAGATTTACAGGAAGTTCCAAAGCTAGTATAGAGAGAGCTTGTGTGCCCTTCATTCTAATTTCGCCAAAGGCTACATCTTACATCAGCATGGTACAATATCAAAACCAAGAAATTGACATAGTATAAACCACATGTATATATACAGTTCTATGTTACTTTATCATCTGTAGATCCCTGTAATCACCACTGCATCCAGGATACAAAACTATTCTAAATGATTTTATTTATTTTCTTAGATATAAAAAAATGCATTATAATTTCAGACAGAGGGTTCCAGACTACTTATTCTACATAACAATAAATAATTATTGAAAATGATTAATATCTAGGAAAACTCTTTGTATAAAGGACAAAGTGAAATTCTAGCAATATAGACAAAGTAGACTTCAGCTGAACCCATTTCCAGGCACAATGGATCAGACAACCCCATCATTCAACAATCGTCTCTCCCCAACATAAGAACAAACTCATTTTTAGGCACACAGCTTATCAACGATGACTTCCCAATAACACAACTACTCCAAAGCTGTGGGCCAGTGAAAGTGCTCAATGCAGAGGCACACACATACAGATGCACACACATATAGATGCACACCTCCTTTTCCAGGAAGAACAGAGAGCTTCCCAAGTGTCCTTAAATCTCCAATGAGGTTACCACAACAAAATAGTGCATACATAAATACGTAAACATAAACCATGAAATAAATCAACCAGATTCCTCTACCTCAAACCTATTGTGGAGCTTCTTACCTTCCCTAACAAGTAAATATAAACCAAATTGCTCCAATTGTTGCTGATCCCACTTTGGAGTGGGCTCACAGTAAAGGAGAAATATTTTCTCTCTCTCTCTCTCTCTCTCTCTCTCTCTCTCTCACACACACACACACACACACACACACACACACACAACTAAAAACCAGTCTTACCTTGGCCATCTGTGCCTGCACGCCATTTGCCTTGAGAGACGCTACCGCTTTCTGTGCAGCTGCAGGACTGTCAAAATCTACAAAACCATAACCTGTGAAAACACAAAACCCCTTGTTAGTACGCACAAAAAGCTGCATCTCGAGCATACGGATGAAGTGCAAATTTATAGTCAGAGTTGTACTCAGTTCCTCTGACACATGACCCTAGTTGAGCATGAAGGCTCTCAGATCAGTGGTCCTTAATGCTTTTGGAAATATACCATATCTCTAGACATAAAGAAGTAATTCTTTTCGAGAGTGCTGGAGATTGGATTTACACTCAGTAACCCAATTTAAACTACTTTGGTGAACAGGTCATATGTTGTTCAACTGTGTTTTTTCTTCAATGGATTTGCAGCACAGCGAGGAGCACAAAATGTTGGAAACTATAGAAAAGTCTATCTCTAAAGTTAATTTTCATAACCTGAAAAAAATTGATATCAATAAAAGCCATGTTAAGAACTTGCATCAAGTTATCACCAGCAACTGTGATAGCGCCCAGCACACAGTAAGCATTCAATAAATAAGTACATGTTGAGTGCATGAATAAAAATTATACCTGGATGAGAGTTATGGTTGAAAACCTAATTCCATTCAATTATTAACCCCATGGTTCTCCATTACAGGACGTTGTCTCTCTCAATGATAACAATTATTTATTTATTTTTACTTTATTTTATTATAAAGATGTGGGTACAAGTCAGGATTGGGCACATAAATAATGTACCAGGTGAAGTTTGGGCCTCTAAATGGCCCTCCTTTTTCCTGATTGAGGATCAGTTACCTTTTGTGCTGTTTTGTGCTCCCCACTCCCTTCCTCCTTCCCCTGGCAGTGTCCTGAGACTCCTGATCCCTCCCTTGTGCTTTTGTGATTAATGTTCAGGTTCCACTTATGAGTGGGAACATGTGGTATTCGGTTCTTTGTTTCTGTGATAGATCACTCAGCATGATGGTCTCCAGCTCCACCCAATTGGCTGAGAAATCCATGATTTGATTCTTCCTTATGGCTGTGAAACAACCTTAATAAACAATTTTGACTCTCAAGTGATCTGTGATAAAGATGATTAAATAGATACATCTTCAAGCTTTCTTTAAAAATAAGAAACATACAACTATGTCACTTACTTGTGTCTAGGATACAATCTACAAATGGCCTAAGAGTCTCCTATACTGTTCTGTGTACCTGTGTGGATGTGTATTGTGAGGACAAAAAAGTAGCCAGTAAAACAGAGTCAATGAAAAGGTAATTTCGCATGCCCTAAAGCTAACTAATATTAGTACAGGGCTTAGTCTAACAGCAATGTCAACGGCCAAAAATAGTTCAAAACATAAATGCTTGAGAATGAGTATGAGGCTGCTTTGCTCGGCACTCCTATGAAGCACAGCATGTGCATCTTCCATCTCTTCTCATCTGTCAGGCAGAGATTTGTCTGTATTCTCATACTTGTCTCATTTAGAAGTTCTGAGGTGAGGCACTGAAGCAAACCTACTAACCATGTACTGTGACACCCCCTCCACCCCAAAATAACCAAAGAAGAGTGCAAAGGAATTCAATTACCAAGTTGTTTCTTTTAATTAACTTTTTAATTTTCTCCCGTCGAATCTCGTCTTCTTTCTCTCCCTCCCAGCATGTTATCCTAAAATGAACTTGTTACACAGCAGTGTACCATAAAATGCTCTTGAAAAGCTGGGCAGAGAAGCTGTGAAGTTTGTATTTCTAATCCAAAAGGAAGTCTGCTCTGTAAGTACTGCTAATTCTTCTCTTCCCACAAAACTCAAACTATGTGGGAAAATGTGTATTATCACCCACTACGATGAGTAAGAGAGGTGAAAAAAAGCAAAAAGAAAAAAGTAGGAATAGCCAAGAAGTAGAATCGGGGGAGAGAAAAGCAAAACTAAAATGCAAACGTTATCTCCCACGTGTAAATTGCTGTGCCGGGTGGCTGACACTCTAGCGACTCCCTGGCTTCATACCCATTAAACACATGAAGAAAGTGAGGCTACGTAAGGTGGGGTAACTTGCCTAAAATCACAAGCTGCTTTATGGGCAGATCCAGGATTTGAAGTCTGCATCTGTCCTTTCCAATACATTATGCAATGAACTGCTTTGTTATCCCACTTCGTAATCTATTTCTACCAGCCTCTGAAGCCCACCAGGCAGAGGACTCAATTTTTGAAAATTCCTTAACTTTTTACGTTAAGACATGGAATAGAACAATTCCATAAAAGGATTTCATACAGCTCCTGTAATCAGCACACTTGTTAATAGGTAGTTGCATTCTCAGCAGAACTCTCAAAATGATCTTTGAATGAGCACCATCTTCCACCTCATTCATTGGTCAATATCTTCCTCATTCATTCATAGGCTCATTTATTTGTTCAATAATGAAATCCTCAAAAAATAGCCCCAGTCCCCATTCTTATGCAACTTCCAGTTGAGCTGAGAGATGGACAAGAAGCAAAGAACCAAACAAATGAATCTATAACTACAAAATGGTATGTCTTCCTTGAAAGCAAATGAAAGCATGTAATATAGATTTTAACTGTTGATTGTTCATCAATTAAAGTTTTAAAGAAGCAGTGGTGTGGAATGATCTTCATTTTTAAAAGTATCACCCGAACTGGAGATTGAATTGTTGTGGGATCTGGATAGCCCAGGTGGAGTCAAGGCAATGGCTTATGGGCTATTGTGGTAATCAAGAAGAATGGAAGCTGGCAATAAAATGGATGAGGTTAACTAGATAGCTTGGGTTATATTTTGGAGGTAGAATTAACAGGATGTTGTGATAGATAGATTGGAATTGGGAGGAAGAGAGATATAGACAAGGATTACTAATACTACTTTTTTATTTTTCCATAAGCCCACTGGGTGAGTGGAGATATGATTTACTGAAGTGAGGAGACTAAAGGAGGAACCAAAAAAGGGGAGGGAAAATTAAAATATTGCTTTGAGACGTGTTCAGCCAGAAATGCCTGTGAGACATCTAAGTAGAAATGTCAAATAGCAGTTGGATACATTAGGCTGGTGGTCAAAAAAGGGGATGGAACTGAAGATATAAATTAAGAGGGAAACGGCATAAAGGTATTACTACCAGAGATGGAAAATGACAGAAATGCCCAGAGTAAGTATAAAAAAGGGAAGAGAGGGTCCAGGGTTGGAACTTGAACAATTTCAGCATTTAAACATCAGATAAGAAAATGAGATGGCAAAGAAGGTGAAGGAGAAGCAGAGAAAGAAGAAAATGAAAAGGGAACAGGTGGTCCAGAGTCAAGGTAAGAAAATGTTCTGAGAAGGGGGCAGGAAGACCAACTGTGTGAAAAGTTACTGAGAAAGCTCGAAGGTGCCCAGCATGTTTAGAAACATGATGCCGTTATCATAATTTGCTTTAGGTAAGTGGTGAGGATTGAAGCCAGCTGGGGTAGTTGAAGGGTAAGAGAAAGATGGGGAGGAGGCTTTACAGACCTCTTTGCAACTATCTTGTCTGGGAAGGAGAATTAAGAGACAGATTTAGCTAGAGGGGAATATGTGGTGGATTGACTTGTTTTTGTTTGTGTGCTTAGAGATAGTAGAAGCTATGGTTCTGAGTGTGATTAGTCTTCACCTGATTCTAGTGTGAAGTCGGGGTACAGAACTACTGAGTACTCATTCAGTCATTCAACAAATATTTGTTGAACACCTTTTATAAGACTGGTATTAGTTCTTGGAGTTCTGAATATTGATAGAACAGATCAAGTAGAAAACAAAAGATTAAGACTTCAGGAAGACAAAAGGATACTTTATAGAATAATGTTCCTGAGAAAGTAAGGAAATGGGATTATCTAGAAAATATATGCATGTATATTTGCAGTGGAAGTCACCCTCTCCTTCACCCACCTTAATGGAAGCACAAAAGAGCAGTCTTGGTTACCAGATTTTGTTTCCTTGTATTTCTCCAGATACTGGGACTATACCTAACACTTTAGCCTGTGCTTAATATACTGGGAGTGCTAAAAAATGTATAAATATTTTAAGAGATATTGTCTATGTATTACTCCTCAAAGTTAAATTGAATTAAATTACAGTAGCAATGTGTAGTATGACATTTGCTCAAAAGATGGCATTAATCAAATGAATACTAGTGTCACCAGGTGACAGGCAGGACAGTCAAAGAAAATGGCGGAAGCACAGTTGTCATTTGAGGACTGCAAGACCATTTTGAAGTGGTATTTGAATCTCAAGAACATTGTGGAAGTGTGATGACAATGGAGGCGTGAGTTTGCGATAGAACCTCCAACACACCTAACAACTGCATTTGTGATAAGTCTGAGATGTATGGTACTGTGTGTGCTGGGCACAAGGGAAGATCCAGGAGCACCTCTTTTAATTGCAGAAGTCAAAAGTGACTTGTATTCATCTTTTGTTACTGGCATATATTGAGTATTGCAATTTTAATACAGTTTTTTCATTGCCTAAAATGTATATACATAGCCGGGCTCAGTGGCTCAGCCTATAATCCCGTGCCTTTGGGAGGCTGAGGTGAGTGGATTGCCTGAGTCTGCGGGTTCGAGACCCGCCTGGGCAGCGAGACCTCATCTCTACAACAAATCAAAAAATCAGCCGGGCGTGGTAGCGCATGCCTGTGGTTCCAGCTACTTGGAAGGTTGAGGCGGAAGGATCGCCAGAGCCCAGTGGGTCGAGGCTGCGGTGGCCGGGAGCGGCCACTGCACTCCAGTCTGGGTGACAGAGTGAGACTCCAACTCAAAAAAAAAATATATGTATATACATATTTTTGGCACCCTCCGTATATGTGTGAAAATAAATTGAACTCATGTTTAAAAGATGCTAACTTACATCATGGGGGCCACCATGAAGATTCACGGATTAAAATGCCCACCAATGTTCTTCAACTATAAAGAACAATTTAAATGCTAATCCATCAAGGTCTGGTTCAGTTATACTGACACCCAGCAGGACACCCTATATGTCTCTATTCCCACCCTTTTCTCTCTCTTCTCTCTGGTTTCCTCTCTTTCCTTCCACCCCCATGGGTTACCCTGTGTACACATGTTTACAGCCCCATAGGTTACACAGGATATTACAAAATCAAGATGTTGACCTC